CTAAGTAAACAACAACAGATGCAGATGTCATGAATCGTGAGTCATTACAGGTCGTTACAAGTCATACATTGGTCGTATAAATGGAAAATGTCACCGTGTGTTTGTGCCTTCGGACGCCTTGGCAGTCACGTCGCGCCAGAACGCCTCCCATCGTTGTTTCCTAACCAACACGCTCTCTCTGTCCGCCTCAGGACTGGCCGCTGATGTGTCCGGACCAGAAGGAGAGCCATATGACTGGGCCTGAGCAGCCGCAATGCGGTCCACAGCGCGGATGAGTGACGGTGTCATTGGCATCGGTACTGCGCCAATGGGAGGCTCAGTGTTTGCTGTGTTTGAGTCGTGCCGTGCGAGAAATGGTGGCTTCCAACCCGGCGAGTCGCGGTATTCTCCTGTCTGCGTTTGCGCATTGGTCACGTCTTCCTCATAATCGGAGTACTCTGGTGCATCATTATCCTTGCCTCGGAATACGATACGCCTCGCGGAGGCCACTCTCTCCTGATCTCCCTTCATTGGAGAAATACCCCAAGAACCCGTGTTGGATCCATTAGTTAGCGTCACGCTGGAGAGCGTTGAGGTGCGACGCGGTAGTGGTGGTGGGGTAGACAACGGATCGTCCTCGTCATCCGAGCTGAGATCATCAGGGTTCACGGCACCAAACTTCACCGCCTCGCGTTTGCGGTAGCCGTTACCTCCTGCATTCTTCAACCCACGCAATCGAGCCAGAGGGTCCTGGATTTGCTTTCGCGGGAGATAAGTATAATTGTCAAGTGTAAGAACTGGTTGGATCGCTGGCTGCTCGGAGTTTTGACGATGATGAAAAGACAGGTGTGAAGGGGCCGTATACTTGTCATCGGGGGGAAATAGGTAGTCAGATACAACGGGTGGCTTTGACCTGCGCATCCATGGGAAAAGTCGATCCCAAAAACTGTTCGAAAGTGGCCGGAAAATGCCCGCACGGTCACGAGAAATGGGAAGGGACGTGGCGTATTCGGTAAGATACGTATCCCATTCCTGCATCAGTACAGTCAGGCCAATTTGAATGAAGAGGGGCGGAGGTATACTGCACCTCATCAGGGTTGCCTCCACAAAACCTCTTAAGGGTCCAATCCGTTAAACAACCAGCTATGAGGATGAGCCAATAACCAGCACTAAGAGCTCGTTCTGCCCCACTACCCCACCCATCGCCGTCATTTATCCATAAGCGCTCCCAGACATTTGACCAGGGTTGGACGTGTGAAAGCAAGGATATTGACATGACCAGACCGAATGTACCAGAAGCAGATGCGGCCAGGCGAATTGAATTACGTTGAGTGCGAGAAAACGGTACCAAAGTCAATATAAGGAAGATAGAAACCAAGAGTGCGAGGAAAATACGTCGCGTCAAAAGATTGGGATGGATGGAGACGGACAGCGCAAGTGCCAATGACGTTCTATGAGGGAAGACATGAGATAAGATAGCCATGTGAAGAAGTCAGATAGATTTACCCGCCAGTGATACCTGTGAGTGCAAGAGCAGCGTATTCGAAAAGACCGGAGAATATGGCAAAAGGAATGGAAGTTAACACCCAGACAGCCAAGAAGGACTTCGGACTCAATGGCGCAGAAGTCGTTTCATTGGGAACAACCAGTGCGAGAAACGTTGTCAAGTGAACTGCGGTATTCTCAGTGACTATATTGCATAGCGAGCAGATAACATACGGCCAAAAGAATACCCCATTGCGAGACCACCAAGACCACCCTGTAAATATAAGCGAACCCGTCTTGGCCGCTTGGTAAGACTGAAAGAGCCGGGTACATCGAGAGGATCGCGACGGGGGCGAAAGGATCGAGTGCGATCAAGCGTGAGGAAGGCACCTGCAAAAGCAAGGAGAGTGGAGAGAGCTAAAAGAGGGAGAGCATAAACGAGGCGATAGGGTGTGGATGGTAAGAGATCGGTCAGTTCAGTGGAGGTGGTGGGGGTGGCCATCAAGAGACGGGGCGCTTGCTCCACGGCTGCGAATTGACCTTATCGACCGGAGTGGGAATGGCACTCCTCCGGCGACAACTCTCCACCCTCTCGAGATATGGCCACGGAATTGAACCCCCCTTGCGTGGAATCAGAGTCCTTGACCTGACACGCATTCTCGCAGGTCCAACAGCAACCATGCTTCTCGCGGACCTCGGGGCAGACGTTATAAAGGTCGAGGAGGTACAACGCGGTGACGATACTCGTTGAGTACAATCTCATCTTACCTTCCGCATTTAGATATTCTTACAGACAGACAGGGTCGTGGAGACCACCTGCTGCTCCCATGTCCGAGAATGCGCCGAAGGCCTCATCGCATCTTCCTCCAGAATCCGCATACTTTCTCGCGGTGAATAGAAATAAGCGCTCCATTACCGTGAATTTCAAGAAACAGAGGGGCTTGGAAATCCTCCATAAGCTTGTCGCGAAAGCAGACGTATTGGTAGAGAACTTTTTACCAGGAAAATTAGACTCCATGGGACTCGGTTATCCAGATTGTAGCGCCATCAACGACAAGTTGATTTATGCGTCCATTACCGGCACGTTTGCTCTCCATGCGTTCCCATCCTCCGTTGACATTGGCTGCCTTAGGCTACGGACAAACAGGTCCTTATAGAACAGCGGCGGGATATGACGTCGTGATCGAGGCTGAAGCAGGGCTTATGCACATGTCGGTTGAATGCCAATAAAACCTTCTGAATGGCCCATGTAACCATAGGTTTGCAGAACTGGGGAACCCGACCGATCGCCATCCAAAGTTGGCGTCGCCGTGACTGACATTTCTACTGGGCTATATGCCCATGGTGCCATTATGGCCGCTCTTATCTCCCGCCAGAAGACGGGGAAGGGTGTCTGGATCGATTGTAACTTATTCGAGTCACAGGTGTGTCACTATGTACATGGAGCATTCACAAACGTCTGATCTCTTGGTTAAAGATTGCGGGTCTCGCGAATATTGCATCTAATTACCTCATTGCAGGGAAGGAAGCTCATAGACATGGCACAGCACACCCCTCCATCGTTCCCTACCAAGTATTCCCTTGCAAAGACGGTTATATCATGATTGGAGCCGGCAACGATGGACAGGTATAGCTGGTCCTCTTTGCACCAGTCTCGATGCTGTAAAATGCTTTCCTCAGTTCAAGCTCCTTGCCGAGAAAGTCCTTCGCCAGCCCGAGCTGGTCCATGACCTTAAGTTCAGCACCAACATCGCAAGAGTTGAGAATCGTGAGCTTCTGGTGAAGGTCATCACGGAGGCACTCATCCAAGAGCCACTTGATCACTGGCTTCTTTTATTCCATGGACTCGGGTAAGCGGGCTTCACCTTGCTACCGAATCCCGATTCAATGGGTTCAAGTGTGCCATTTGGCCCTATCAATAACATCCAGCAGACATTCAAACACCCTCAGGCTGTCGCACGAGGTGTGGTCGTAGAAGTCTGGGTAAAGATCACAGTACGCTTCTACCACATCTTCTCATTTCCACCCTCAGCACCCGCGCGCTGGAAAGATCAAGTTGGTGGCTCCGGCTGTCACCTACAACGGGAAGAAGATGCCAGTGAACAGACCCCCGCCATGGCTTTCTCAGCATACTGATGAGGTGGGACGACCAAATACGATCTACTCATACAGATGACATAGTTTGCCATCAGATCCTGACGGAGTTGGGATACGATACGGAACAGATCTCGAAGCTTCGGAAAAGAGGGGTCGTGTGAAGAGTTTTACGGCCAGGGCTTCTCGGTGAAGCAAAGGCAGGGGTACATCCAGGGCAACGGAAAATATGTCGCAAGCGCGCCTAGTTACGAAACTCCTTCTCAGCCTCTTCTATCCACCCACCAGCCTTCTCCCAGACATCCTTCGCTGTTTCACTCCATTCAACCTTCTTACTCTCCACACACTCATCACATACGCCCATCTCATTCCATGACAAAGACGCGATGCGAGTGAGTGTCTCGAGTGGGCGCCCCACGCCTCCGTCGGCGAGCGCAGGGGTAATGACATCAGTCATCCAGCGATCCGCAATAATGTCCGTGCATGCCATATGTGATGCGGCACAGACGGTGAATAGAACGGGTGTAAAGTCCGCGATAAGCGACGCGAGCAAGCGATGACATATATGGATTGTCCGCGGGGAAAGTGCGGGGTGTGGGGTGCCTTCGCCTGATGTATCGAGATTTTCTGGGCCAGAGGGATCAAACTCTCCCCTTGGATCAAAGTCGGTTGAAGTGGCAACGCTATAAACCAATGCCTTTTTGGTCTGTGGGCGGGTCGTTAGTAAATGCCATGTCACTACCGCGGCAAAATCAGAAGTACCCCCGATTCAATGCCGTATTGTAAAGCAAGTTCTAGCGCTTCTTCTAGATACTCGGTGCGATGTAAGTGCGCGAAAGGGACAGGCCCTCCGGGAAAAAGTGTGGCAAGATGATGGTTGGCGAATTCGAATATCGAGGTCAGATCGAGTTGCCGAGGAGATGAGACACGTAGAATACATGCGAGCTGGGAGAATGGGCTCTGAGCTCTCAAAGGACTGCGTGAACAGGGTCAAGACCACACACGAACGGTATGAGGCGCGACCAGCACGAACGCTTACGAGTCGTGGTACAAGTGCGCCAACAGCGTCTCGAAATCCTCAATCGTGGTGCCCAGCTCGACTGGGATGGCCATAATCGGCGTCTCAGCATCCCCGATGGCCATGGATAGCGCGAGAGCGGTGGGATCTGTAGCATCTAGAAGCCATGGCGCGAACTTTGTCGAGTGTCGATCGAGAATCGACTTGTGAATCTTATACACCGACGGCACTAAGCTGACAAGAACGGAGCCATCGTCAAACCAGAACCGATCGCTTCTCCGTGGTGGTGGTTGAGAACGTTGAGACTCGGGGCCATTCGCAAGGGTGGGTGGCATCCCGCTTGCGAAAAGAATGAAATCATATCATGAGGACGTTCTGGGCCAGATTAACCAGGTAATATACATTCTTTTCGTTTAATTTTATATGCCCCATGGCTGAGTTGGTTACAGCGTCCGACTGTTATCCCGCGGGTAATGACGGTATCGGAAGGTCGAGAGTTCGAGCCTCTCTGGGGCAGTACTTTTTCATGTATATCCTTGTCATCACGCACCACATGCTCAATTGAACTCAAAAGTATATCGTCCCGCGATCCGCCTCCGCCTTCGAGGCCACCCGAACTTCCCTTTCTAGGACCACATGGCTACGAAGTGTGAACATGACAAATCCGGTTTCCCATAGGCGGGAGCCATCGTGAACTCCTGAGTCGGTCATGCCCATCGGGTAAGCTGAAGGGTTCTACCGCCACCCTTGCCCTCAATGGACCACAATGGTTCCATTGACGGTTTTTCTGGAAAGAGGGTGTTTCCATTCCTTGACAACAGCCGTCTTTTGCCTTCCGAGTTGATCCTGCGCGACATTCCCATTCTCATGCTTTCATGAAATTCATGAATAGTCCGACTCGAATGTAGCCCTCTGGGGAAACGACAGCTCATGTGACACATCGTGGCCTGCCATTTTGCACCCTCTTGCCTTTTCCATCCCTCCGATTATCCGGGGCGCTAATAGAGCAACGCCTCGCTGAAATGTCGAGCTCCGTGAACCCATCAGCCTGTTGGCACAAAGCTCCGGAGCACGTCCGCCCACTATCGCGCCATCGCGGCTCCGTACCTTCCACTGGAAAACGCCATGGCGCCGTGGCGTCCGACCTTCCACATCTATCCAAGTCGGTGGGTTCAGGGGGGGGTCCTTATGAGTCACGATAAAACTCCACGTTCTATTTTTCTTCTCGGATGTATGCGGCTGTGCGGAACGCGGCGCGGCTGACTCGGTCAAGTGTGCGTCCCGTTCTAAGGTTTCCTTCTGATCCACGGTTCATGTACTGTAAAAAGCGTGCGTGCCGTTTATACCTTGTGGGGTTTAAAATTGGGCGTCTTTGGCTGGGTTTTCTGACGGGGCTGTCCGACGCGTGTTCACGCTATTTAGGTTCATTTCTCCACACACACACCACTTCTGGGCACTACAGTAGTTCTTCCGTGCCCAATGAGCCACCAGCTGCATCTTTTCCGCATGTTCTTGGCTCGGTTTTGCGACTGCGCGCCGAGAGTCTGTTTTTCACTTTACCCCGAAAGTATGATGTTGATTTTTTTCTTCTTCTTCTTTGGAGCCCCGCGTGCCAGTGCCCGGCCCTGCCCTGGCACTACAATGAAATGAACAACCTCCGTGATCTAGAATTTCCAGGATGGAAGAAAAAAAAAAAGAGAGTACAGCACAATTGTTCCTGTTGATGTTGATGTATATATATATATAATAGGAGACACAGCCCACCCAATTCCGTGATCTGTCCTGTTCTGTTCGTGTTGAGATAGGATAGATAGTACTAAACCCCTCTGGAAGACGAAAAGCGCGCGTTAATAGCAAATTCACATGTGAGACAATAGCGCGCATTGCGGCCTTCTCGGTCTCGGGACGTTGTGGGTAGGGTGGTTGGGTTGCTCCCATGTCCAGTTATCCACTCGAGTCGCCGCTCTGGCGGAGTAGATCGGCCGACTTGTTGACTGCCGACTGCGCGCTCCGCCCCGAGGGAGTATTTTTGACATTTTGTGGCCGGCCTCAGGCTGGCCGGTGATGCGCGTATTGCGGCCCTTCCTTCTCATCATAAGATGTCGCCTTGGAAGCAAACAATTCACACGACGGCAAAGGAGGTGGAGTCTTAGTCTTTGATTTGTGAGGCACTGGCACTAGCACCTTGTGCTGCATACGACGCGGCGCCGTGGCACCCTTGGTAATCAACATCAACATCATCAACATCAGCGAGCGCAGTAGAGCGCAGGTGCTACTGAACACCACCAACTCAAATAAGCACCGCCAGGTGGGCAGATACTCCCGGGGTGCACAGTATACGTGTCCCGCAACTCGAGGAAAATGATGGATTGATGCCGGGTCGACACGCACACATGTGGGTACGCGCATGCGCTTAGCCGCGTGTGCTGTGCTGCTGTGCCGGCCGGCGCTCAGCGTGTGCCGAAAGAGTGGCGGACTAGGAAATTTCGCCGCGTCTTTTCTTTTCGCTCACCCACCGATTTTGTCGGTCTTTCTCCATTTACAGTACAGCTCGCGGCAGTGGCACCACGAAGAAGAAATTTTTTAAATTCGAGGGGTCAGTGGACACGCATGCACCCGAGCCCCATACCCAACTGGAGTGAACGTGGTAAATGAAAGGGACCAGCTGACCCCGGGAGTACAGCGAGGGGCCGTTCAGTGGGGTTTTGGCACCGCCACATGTGCGATGTCCCCTTTATGCCACCCTCGGCTGTCTAGTCATTGCCAGCCCGGCATGTCTGCGGAAAGCTGCGCAATCACTGCCCTCGGAGCAGCACAGAAATAGATCAGGTTCCCCCTTGATGCGGATCAGTTTAGCGCTGTACCACGACGAAAGAGTGCAAAAGCACCGTATCCCGGAGCAGGCGAGTCAGCGAGGGAGCTGTGATTACACCGGTGAACTCTACGTCATCGTCACAAACTCACATCTCTCTGCGCGCCTCAACACACGATCACGATGGTGAAGACATTTACTTTGTTTGTATTGATGCAACGAAGAGAGGGTCACCTAATGTGCCCTTAACACACCTGTGTAAGTATAACAAACTTCTGGAACAAATTGTATATAATTGCGTGCATTGTGGAAACGTAACGTCATGAAATGTTCAGTGGAGGGGGTGCGGAGACAAACGTCTGCGCTTGAGGGGTAAAGGTGGCAGCCGAAGCCGAAGGTGATCACATGTAGGGGATTTGATGAACGCAAATTGGGACTGCATGTATCGGAAACGGAAAAGGGAGGGCACGATGGGGAGAACAGGGCACCTTTGCACAAATATGGCGGCGAGAAGTCGCCAGCCAGCACTTGTGCCGCGGCATAGTCCCTGCATCCCGATAGGACGTACGGCAGTCGATAGCCGTGGTCGAAACCATCATAGAAGGTAGACCGAGTTGGATGAAGACGATAAGGGGTATATCGGTGTCAAGCACCGAGCTTGCGTCTGATCCTCCTTTGTGCGCGGAAGATCGAGAAACGAACACTGAGTGCAAATGCTTGCCAATGGCGGCGGAACTGCTGGCCACATGTGGGACTGAAAGGTTGAAAACCCGTTAGTGAGATCAAAGGGCGGAAGGATGAAAGGGACAACTCACGTCCACTCGGGCGCTTCTGTGCGTATCGAAACATACTGCTCCTGCTTCTGCTTGGGTTCCGGGGAGATCGTGCACGGCTCCTCGACCACGATCTCGGTGGTCTCGTAGTGGGGAGAGTGACTTCTTGAGCGGAGCTTCTGATGGACGCGACTCTGGCGGACACGCTCCTCGATGACCTCCTCGAAAGAACGGCGGGCGTATGGTAATGACTGCTCGTAGGCAGAATAGCGGGCGCGGCGACGCTCGCGGGGAGAGGCGCTTCTGACGCGAGCGCGTTCGTCGAATTCTTCTCGATCAACATCATCGTCCTCACCGCCACGCTCCCAAGCTGGGCGGCTAGGTAGAGGGGCTACTACAGGGAAGTAGCGATAGTCGGGGTCGTGGAGATTTCCATCTGTATCGGCATATACTGATGTTGGGGAGGATGATGTGGAAGAGGATAGGTAGGAGGGGTCGAGGAGGCGAGAGACATCCGCGACCTTTGCTTGGCGGCGATGGGAGAAGTTGCGCTTTGGCGGGGATGTGGGTGCGAGTGGTAGGCGCATTGGGAGATCGTATTGGAAAGAGGGAGACATTGCTCTCGGACGTTGAGGGCGGGGTCGGGTTGGTGTGGGGGGGTGGTGGGGTCTGACTCGGTTCAGATAAACCGGGGAGATTTATAGTGTGAGTGGCAGCATCGGGAGATTCGGGGGCGCCACACGCCCGGTCCATGATTCCAATCGGGGAAAGCATCTCATCTCGGGCTTTTCATCTGACTCACCCCCATCTAACCCGTTTTCCGCCCAGATTCCCAGAGAAGAAAAAGAGAGACACAGGCAAGAGACACGCCCCGACCCACGTCACCCGTCCACCCCGGCCCTCTGACAACTACCACAACCCTATTCGTTCCGTGGCGCCAATCTCCACATCCTTCTAGTGCGCCTCGTTTCTCAGCCATCCCACAAGAGCGCCCCGTACACATCGCACTGGCGCATCACTCTGCCACTTTCGCTTTTCGGAGATCGGCCGCCCCAAACTCCGAACACTACTCTTTCACATCCCAACATCCATCAGCTGTATGCAGTGGCACCAAATAGCTCGAACGGGAAGTTCCCCTGACCGCTGCTGCGTGCCACCTCGCCCAGGAACCAAATTCGCTTCCCGACGCTCGTCGGCTGTACCCACGCACATGCTTACTCACTGCTTACTCAAGTCGGCTCTTACCTCAGCAAAAACCGCAATCATCTCACGATCTTAGAAATCCAGAGCGTTGCTGATGAGATGGTCGTCACCAGCACTCGTACATGTGTAAACATGTGGACGTGTTTCCTTTTTCGTTCGCATAGATTACTCTCTTCCTACTCGCACAATAGTTGTGCTGCTCGCTTGCCTTTATCATGCCTTCCCTTCCTGACATCATACTAAGGTCGTCTTATCGTGCTCATTAAACCGAGTTGATCAAAAATTAAACCAACGCCCGTTTGTTCGGGATCGGGCCCTGAAAATTCGGACTTATCCAGGGCGGATTGACGCGTCTGTGGCGGAGAAGACCCACGGTTCGGCACGTCATTGTTATTTGGCTCAGCACCCTTTGTCTGGAGAATGCTCTCTTTTCTAGAAGAATGGTGCGTTCCAAGACACAATGAATACTCATGGACAGGCTGAGCCCATATGCCAATCATCATTTTAGGGGTGCACACTGGTTATCCTCCACAACGTGTTGTGAATGAGGCCAGTCAATGCCAAGTTGCTGGGTCCTGAAAGACTCCAAAACCGTATAAGCCACATTGAGATGGGCAATTGGGGCACACGCAACAACAATACACGCGGCTCGATTTATGACACATCCATTACTAGAATCGTAAGATATTCGGCTATTTATTTCTTATCTCATCCCATTAACGATCATCT